TATTTTGTAAAGGCTCTCCAAGTTATGGTCTACCATTCAGGAAGGGCTGAAAACTGCACTAATCCAGAAATCTAATACCCCAAAGCCTGGTGGGCAGAGGATGCTTTGTCAAGATTCCTTCAATTCAGTTCCTTGCCTTTTCTGCCTTTCTACAATAAGCCTGTCAACAAAGATTTGACACCTAGTATACGCCATGTACCATACTTAGTAGTAAACAAAACAGACATTTTTGGAGTTTATAGGATCACCTTCAACTAAAGCTTCACTGAAGCACCAGAATGCCACTAAGTTGTGTTTCTTAACAAGATAAAATTCCTAAAAAATGAATTTCCATTTTCACCACAGGAGGGTGGATAGAAGGGATAGAAGAAGGGATGATTTTATTTCTATTTAATACATTTGTTTTGCTTAATTTTTTAATAATGAGCATATATGCCCTTTTAAAACTTTTTAATGTTTTCTAAAATAAGATTTTTTTAAATGAAGTCATAGATAAATGCAGCAAGACATATTGGTTGATTCTTGTCTATGTATTTATTTCACTGGGGAGGAGAGTCAAGATTTGAGGCTGGGCGGGGAGCGGTGGCTCACACCTGTAATCCTAGCACTCTGGGAGGCCTAGGCGAGTGGATTGCTCAAGGTCAGGAGTTCGAAACCAGCCTGAGCAAGACCCCGTCTCTACTAAAAATAGAAAGAAATTAATTGACCAACTAAAAATATATATACAAAAAATTAGCTGGGCATGGTGGCACATGCCTGTAGTCCCAGCTACTCGGGAGGCTGAGGCAGGAGGATTGCTTGAGGAGATTGAGGTTGCTGTGAATGGGGCTGAGGCCACAGCACTCACTATAGCCTGGGCAACAAAGTGAGACTTTGTCTCCAAAAAAAAAAAAAAAAAGATTTAAGGCTGGAGTGAAGTCAAAAGGCTAAAGACCCTAGGTTTCTTTACCTCTTTCTAGTAGTAGCTTTGATTGTCTTTCCTAATCCCATAGCTATTGTCCCCATGTCCATCAAGATTATATTAAAAAGATGGATAAAGAAAATGCAATATATGTAAACCATGGAATACTACTCAGCCATAAAAAAGAATGAAATCATGTCCTTTGCAGTAAGATGGGTAGAATTGGAAGCCATTATCTTAAGTGAAGTAACTCAGTCAAATGCCGTATGCTCTCACTTATAAGTGGGAGCTAAATAATAAGTACACATGGACATAGAGAGTGGAATAACAGATGGGAGTATGGGATGAGAAATTATCTAGTAGGTATCAGGTACACCAATCAAGTGAGGTGCCCAGGCTTCACCACTATGCAATATATATCCATGTAACAAATCTGCATATGTACCCATAAATCTATAAAAATAATTTTTAAAAATCATATCAAAAGAGTTAAAGGTTGAAGGTCAAAATTCTTACGCATATACTTAGCATACTTTCTCTTTCCTTTCCAAGTGGTTCTCACATCTAAAATAATTAAGTGCCATTTAGGGTAAGGGAAACAGTGGAGGCAATGCTAATATTAAGAGAGTCAAACAGATTGTACAAAGAAAAGCAATGAAAACACTGACATAATTTTTCCTGTACCAAATTAGAAAAGAAAATTTTTAAATGATAATCAATGCTAAGAAAATTATGATAAAACAAGCACTCTGGCAATGCCAAAAGGAGTTTAAATTAACGAATTATGCTGAGCTCAATCTAAAATATATAATCCAGGGTATACTTGTGTGACAACCAACCCTAAGTGTTCTGTATCATATCTGTATTAGATCAGATTTCTTAAGGCTGTCTCATTGCAGGCTTTATTGTTCAGGTATCTTCTGAACTAACAAAAATGCCTCAAAGATCCCACTAGATTTTGTGAGCTCATTATCTTCTGTTTACCTCTTTCCCAGCTATACCAGGATAAAGAAGATAAAATACATTAAAATCCTTAATGCAGTGAAAGAAAAGCATGTTGTATATACTTAGAAATGATTGTTGAAAGTGAAACAGTCCATTATAACAGTAGCATGCAAGCCCCAAAGTATATTGGATTCTGGAAACATTATAGTAGTTTATCCCACCCTCATCCCCAATTTGGTTTAGGGAGTTACTAGTAGGTCCTTTTCCTTCCCTTCTTTCTTTTCTCTCTTTTTCTCCCTTTCTCCCTTCCTTTCTTTCTTTCTTTCCATCTATCTATCTATTGGTCAATTCATTACAATTAAGGTCTGTTTCTTTTAGAGACTAAAACTAGTGTTTATGCTAGTGTCTACTCTAGACAGTGCATGTGAGAGACATTCATAATGCCTTTGAAGTATCCCAACTTTAGAAATGGGTGGCTGCTATGTACCTTCAGACTATTAAAAACTCCTCAAACTATAGCTGCAAACCCTAATGACACTCTGCATACAACTAATTATTCATTAATACTTAATAAATATCTAAGTGATGCTGTAAAGCCCTACAAAAGTGAAGATGATCAGAAGAAATGAAGGATTATTTGTGTATACAAAAGTTTCTCTGATTTTTTTTTTTTTTTTTTGAGACAGAGTCTCGCTTTGTTGCCCAGGCTAGAGTGAGTGCCATGGCATCAGCCTAGCTCACAGCAACCTCAAACTCCTGGGCTCAAGCAATCCTCCTGCCTCAGCCTCCCAAGTAGCTGGGACTACAGGCATACGCCACCATGCCGGCTAATTTTTTCTATATATATTAGTTGGCCAATTAATTTCTTTCTATTTATAGTAGAGAGATGGGTCTCATTTTTGCTCTGGTTGGTTTCCAACTCCTGAGCTCAAATGATCCGCCTGCCTCAACCTCCCAGAGAGCTAGGATTACACGCGTGAGCCACCGCGCCCGGTCACCCAATTACATTTCTACAACAGAATTGCTCTTTAAAACATTTCATTTCAACTGAAAATGTCAATTTCATTATAGGACATGTAAAATTTTGAATGTCACTTGGATTTAGGCAATTTGTCTTGATTAAACAAAATCAAACATAGACACAAAATAAATATATCTTACATAAAATTATCTCTAAGTAATGTTTACCTAACAATGAAGGATCTTAAAAAGTAGGCCACATTTATTTCAATTACAGCTAAATGAAGTTATTTTGTTTTTAAACCTGTGCCAGATTTGTTCTGTCATAATCAGGTAGCTTTTCCAAGATTTTCTTAGAAAAAGGCATTTGCTGCATAAAAAAGATGCTGTACTAGATTTCAGACTACACTTCACACTGATATAAATTTCTAAATTTAGATTAATAAAACCAGAATTACCTAACAGGTGTCACTACAACAAAACAACAGAAAGCATCTTATTACATTGCAGTTCTTCTGATTACTACATTTGATCACTTATGTTAATTTTCTCAATGAATATATGAGGTAGCTTGCTTTCCTAACTATACTAACCTATTTGCAAATACAGAAATACTTCTTAACCTCTGCAATGGAGACCTTCTATTTATATTCTATTTCCACTGAAAATGCAAACAGCTGCTCATATTTTAATTGCACCTCAAACTATTCTTTTTAGTGATGACTCTTTCTTAGAGACCACTCTAGTATAAGTCTGTCAATTAATAAACGTGTTGCTCAGTTAATGGAAGAGAAATAACTGTATGTTAGTGGTTAAGAAGCCCCATAATTGTAGCATTTAATATCTACTGTTGTTCCTAATGCCACCAAGCTGACTCAGACTAATGAGCTCTCTAGGTGTCACTGTTTAATAAAGGCCTGTCAAAGTGAAAACTCATCAGTGGAGACTCCAGAATTCTTTCAACCACTGTACTTGCTTCTCATACATAAATAAACAGAAGTTATTTGGGGGTTCTCTGCCACAAAGAAATGCACTGAAAACAAAGCATCACATGATTTTGAAAACGAATACTTCTTCCCTTCTTTACAGTGAATCCTAAATTAGATCAAGAATGCTACTTATAAAGATATTCTAAGTTAGTACGGGATCTCCTGATACATGAGTCTTCAACCCTAAATATAAAAACTGCAGCAAAAATGAGCCAATATGCGAACTAGGGACAAAAGACAATTTATGTGTCTCTGGCGATCTTAGTTAAAAAAAATGATGTGCCTGAGGACCATTCAAGCGAGGTACACACCAAATGATGCAGCCCAAAGCGGGCAAGAACCACTGGGTGCTCGACCCGTCACCCAACCATCCAAAGTCGATGGTGGTGCCCAGAACCCACGAGTCCTTAACATTAAACATCCCTGTAACAACTCCTCAGTTCAGAAAATCACAGACTTCCTGGCCCCTAGAAACTTAACCCTGGTCTTCATACGTCTCCAGAGACCTTAACACCGGCTTTTTCATACTCCCATCATCCAAAACAAAGTTCACAACACCGCTCTGGCAGTTTCCTTCATAACTTAGCTTGGGCACCACGCCCTCCGACCATGCCAGTCTCCTCCTGTCCCCGGAGGGGACGCTCCCCCTTTCCTTTGGTCACTCCGCCAGGCCACTGTACTCACAGACTAGCGGTGTCTGGGGGCAACGGGCCCGACAGCGCCCTCCAGCTCGGCGCGGGCAGTTTCCTGCGACTGCAATCCAGCAGAGGCATGCGGCAGGAGCAGGGTGCAGGGCAAAGACCTGCTCGGGTGATGGGCAGCAGGAGGAGAGCTGCTCGGGCAAGGAAGAGGAGCCGGGAAAGCGGTACGGACCGACACCCCAGCAACCGTTCCTCCCGGACGCCTAGGGGCGCCGGCGCCATTTTCCCCCTCGACCTGGACCTGGCAGAGAAGAGCCGCCTGACAGAAAAAGAGGATGGCGCAGATGTTTAGCGGCTGCGCGGTCGCTCAGAACCCTGGCTATCCCCTGTACCCTCTAAAGGCAGGCGAGGGACGGACGCGCCGCGACAGCGGGGGCGGCGGCTGGGGACACACGGCTGAAGGCCTACGGACAGCGCTCCCCCACCCCGCCCCGCGACGCAACGTCCTCACGCACAGGAGCCAGCCAATAGGTGCCACAGGACGAGGTTGCGTCGGGGGAGGGACTCAGTGAGGGGGCGGGGCCAGAGACAGCCGAGCTCCTTCAGAAGAACGTTAAGGTGTTTGGAGACTTTGGGTGCTCCTCTGGAGTTGCACCGCGGTCCCTCCGCTGGAGGGCGCAGCGGGTCCTTAAGAGGGAATGGTGGGGGCGAGCACTGTGAGTTCCGACTAAAGGTATATCTATTGTAGTCGTAAAAAAGGTTCTTTTATCTTCTCTGGGCTCTAAGAAAGGAGTGGCTGAAGGGCTGCCTTCCAAGTCGCTGACACAAACTGAGCTGCTATGCTCGCGTTAGCCAGGTCCGTCTCCAGAGCCAAACTGGGGCCTCCTCTGCCCCCTGCTGCTTGTCTGCAGCTCCTGCTGTTCTGCAGCGGGGCGGCCAGCTCCCACTCGCCCAACACAAAGCATGTTACCTCTCTATCTCTTGATGGGTTGTAAGCTCCTGAAGGCAGAGACCCTGTTAATTTATCTGTGCACCTCCAGCTTCTGATCTGGTTTGGAGTTCAGTAAATGTTGATGGGACTCCACCTGCATGTCTCTTCTTTCCTCTGTTTTGGGGGGATGCTGTGCTAGATACACACTCTCAGAAAAGCAAGTGGGACAAGTAGATAAAGAGGGTGTTGAGTAGTCAGCAAAGCAAAGGCTGCTTGTGAGGAAATTTTTTGTTTTTCCTGAAGCAGAGGCTATAGAAAACTTACTAGGAACAGTGAAGTCTGGCCACTTTATGCTCACTCAGCCGTGTATTATATCATATATATATATGTGTGTGTGTGTGTGTGTATATATATACATGTGTATGTATATATATATATGTAAGACTTTGAGAATAATACTGATGGACTCTTTAAAAGTATAAAAGCACTTATAAGGCCAGGCGCAGTAGCTCACGCCTGTAATCCTAGCACTCAGGGAGGCGAGGCAGGAGGATTGCTTGAGGTCAGGAATTCGAAACCAGCCTGAGCAAGAGTGCGACCCCGTCTCTACTATAAATAGAAAGAAATTAATTGGCCAACTAATATATATAGAAAAAAATTTTTGCGAGGCATGGTGGCACATGCCTGTAGTCCCAGCTACTCAGGAGGCTGAGGCAGGAGGATTGCTTGAGTCCAGGAGTTTGAGGTTGCTGTCAGCTAGGCTGACGCCAAGGCACTCACTCTAGCCTGGGCAAAAAAGTGAGACTCTGTCCCCCAAAAAATAAATAAATAAAAATAAAAAAAATTTAAAAAGCACTTATATGTAGTGCTTTTATACTTTTCAAAGAGCATTTGCATATGTTACCTTATTTGGTCCCTCAGTGACTGTGAAATTGGCAAGACAGTGCTGATGAAGAAACAAGCCCAGAGAGGTTAAACCAAGTTACCCCCAGGGAGAGGCAGGATTGGCATTAGTATGGCTGTAAATTAATTCTGACTTGTAAATTAAAAGCCTGGCCAGGTCAAAAGAATGATAATGCCTAGATCATAGGGTTGTCCTAGAAAGTAACTGAAGTCAATCTTTCCCAGGGCAGATTTGGAGTCACAATTATGGGTTTTTTTAAAACACTTTTCCATTTTCTAATATTGGAATTTTTCTTGGAATCAAGGCCATATCCAATGCTCCAGGCCAAACCAAACTTTTAAAGCCAAGACAGCAGAGTGAAACTTACTCTTAGCCTACTTCCGCTGGCTGTTGAGCAAGCTCAACAACCTCCAGTAAGAAATTGGGCATAGGCAGGAGCCTCACAAAAAAAGGAGGCAGTTTAGTTCCTTGCACTATAGTTTCAGAGTTTCATTATAAAACTATGCAAATGGGCCCATTAGAAATTCATGCTTCCTAACCTGTGTCCTCCCCCATAAGTGGTGCAGGTCACCACAGTTAGAAGGAGTCCCTCCAACTCTTAATTCCTTCTGCACATTATTTTTAGCACTCTGATAGCACTTCTATGCACCTTATATATCTTTGTATTCCTCATATTGGCTATAAGTGCTTGACACATAATAGACAATAAATATTTTATAAATAATATTATCTTATACCTTATAATACCTAAATATTTTAAATTACCTAAATATTTTTCTTTAAAAGTTTTTATGAAAAATGTCAATTTACATAGCAATAGAGTCATAGAATAAACCCCCATATATCTAACCAGATTTAGTAAATACATGTTTTTAACAGAATTTAATGATTCATTTCTGATTAAAAATTTAACATAGGGTTTTATTCATTGCCCTGGAATTGTCTAATTATTCCTTGGGTGCCTTTTGGGCAGAGTTTTTAGAGTTCAATGGAATGCATAAGCAAAGAATACCCCACCTCCAGACTCACTCCCCAAAAAAATCTACTCACTTTGGATCACTTGTTCCAGACCTTAGCATAAACCCCAATCCCTTAAAATTTAGGCATCGTATATCCCATGATCTCATGACTTTACTCTTTGCAAAGTCATAGCTACCTAAACTGATTAATCAATTCCCGTCTCTCAAGCTAGAAATCTCATGATCACCAAGGCTTTCTCCTCTTTCTTCCCTGTCACATTTAATCAGTCACTTAACAGTGGTCGCAACATTTTTGGCACCAGGGAAAGGTTTCATGTAAGACAATTTTTCCAAGGGATGGAGGGTGGGGGGGTAGGGGAGGACTGGGCAGGAGACGGAGCTCAGTCGGTGATAGGGAGGTGGGAAGGAGACTGGCTGTAAATACAGGGGAAGCTTCCCTTGCTGCTCCCAGCTGCTCACCTCCAACTGGGCAGTGGGGTGTGGGGAGGCGGGGTGGTCCACCAGGGGTGCATTGGGACTAAAGAATCACTAGACTCCATTGATTTCCCCTGAGAAATGTCTCAGATCTCTCCCTACATCTCCATCCCCACTGCTACTTAGTTCAGACCTTCACCTCTCATGAGTACTACTGCAGTGACCTCTGAACCCATCTCCTGTCCTCCAGCTTCTCTCCCCTCTCCCAGCCTCCTCTAGACTGTCACTAGAATTATCTTTCCAAAGCATACTGTTACAGGTATGTTGTTAGTACCTCCCAACATAAAAATACTTGATGTTCCCAGTGGTTCTTATTCTATTATTTGCGCTTTTCCTAGTGTTTTAATATAATGAACATGGATTATTTTGGAAAACAGAAAAAAAATTTTTTTAAGTGAATGACTCCTCATTGCCTGTAATATAAAATTCCAAATTCTTTGTCCTACCATTTAAGTAAGAATCCATAATCAGGCCCCAGCCTCACTAACTCCAACATTTCCCATATCTCCTCACCATTTTTTCCACATTCCAGCCACAGAAAATGATTTACCTTTCATAAATTGAGCCATGCATATCTATACATATTTCTCCATGCTGTTCCTCCTACTAGTTAGTTGCCCATCCCACCTTCTCTAGCTAGGCATTTCCTACTCTCCTTCCTGCTTCTTTATGAAGATTTCTCTGACTCTTTTAAGCATTTAGTGGCATCCACCTCAATTCTACAACCATAGTTCATGGCATTCATATATATATCACTTCCATGCCATCCGTTTGTGTGGAAATTATCTTTTTCTTGTTGTCTTCCCCACTAAGTAAAAACATCTTCATTTACTCATTTAATATCCCTAGTGCTAAGTGCAGTGTCTGATATTGATAGTGCAGTGTCTATATTTATATTTATTTATTATCAATAAATATTTCTTGTTGATTAAATTACTGTTAATTTCATTGTTGCTCTACTGGATAAGCCCAAATCTATTTAGAGTATCTTTTGTTTCCTTTTATCTCCTTCCTCCATCTCCTTTTCCCAATAAAGAAGGAATGATGATAATAATAGTAACTATTATTTATTGAAGCAAAATCTAAAGCCAGAAAAATATAGACAAATTAGACTTCATCAAAATGAAAAACTTTTGTCCATTAAAGGACACTATCAACAGAATGAAAAGGTAACCCATGCAATGAAAGAAAATATTTGCAAATCATGCATCAAAAGATTAGTATCCAGAAAATATAAAGAATTCCTACAACTCAACAGCAACAATAAAACACAAAACAATGTAATTAAAAAATGGGCAAAGCATTTCAATAGACATGTCTCCAAAGATACACAAATGGCCAATAAACACATGAAAAAATGCTCAAGATCACTAATCATAAGGAAATGCAAGTCAAACCACAATGAGATACTACTTCACACACATTAGAATGTGTGTGAATTATAAAAAAAAATTATAGAATTATAAAAAAAAAAGAAAGAAAGAAAACTCCAAGCCAGAAAATAACAAGTTTTGGTAAGGACATAGAGAAATTGGAACTTTTGTGCATTGCTGATGAGAATGTAAAATGTTACTGTGGAAATGAATATGGCATTCCCTCAAAAAATTAAACATAGAATTACCATACCTAGTGATTCTGTTTCTGGATATATATCCAAAAAAATTGAAAGCAGGGATTTGAAGAGATATTTGAATACCCATGTTCATAGTGGCATTATTCACAACAGCCAAAAATTGGAAGCAACCCAGTGTCTGTCAATGGATGAACGAATAAAATCTGGCATATACATAAAATGGAATATTGTTAAGCCTTAAAAAGGAGGAGAATTCTGATACTTACTATGACATGAATGAACCTTGAAAATATTATGCTAACTGAAAGAAATCAGTTATGAAAGGACAAATATTTTATGATTCCATTTATATGTGGTGCTTAGAGTAGTCAAATTCACACAGACAGAAAAGAGAATGGTGGTTGCCTGGGGCTAGGAGGAAAGGAGAATGGAGGGTTATTTTTTAACAAGTATTAAGTTTCACTTTGGAATGATGAAAAAGTTCTGGAGATATTTGGTGGCGATGGTTGCACAACAATGTGAATGTTACTTATTGCCACAGAACTGTATACTTAAAAATAATTCAAAATGGTAAAATTTATGTTATACATTTCTTATCACAATTTAAGAAAAGTCTAAAGCCAGAAATCTGGAACTCATCTTTGAGTCTTTCCTTTCCTTTCCCTTTATTCTCCATCCACTCCCTACTGCTAGCGAACATCTAACTATCATCAAAACCAAAATAAATCTTAAAAATGACTACTTATTTCCATCTCCTTTACCACCACACCAATTCAAGACAACAATCTCTCACCTACACCATTTTAGTAGCCTCCTAAATAAAAAGCCTTTTACCATCTTGTTCCCGTCAAAACCATCCACACAGCAACTT